CAGCTAACCAGTAACAAGCTGGAGAGAAACCACACACCTGCACAGGACGCTCTGAAGACCCAGCATCACCTGGATGTGGGCTGCAGGGCTCTGGTGAAAGTGTTCATGAATATATGAGGGTTAATTAAATGTAGTTACTAACTAAAGCTGAGTCCTTATTCAGAGCAAACTGTTTTCACAGCCTAAACTGAACAACGTGGTTTAGCAACATGAAGCCATGGACGTGAACTCCTCATGAACCTGCTCTGCTCAGACTGCTGCAGTGCTTTGCATGATTCCTTCTAACACTGTGCCTTTGTTTGTTCTGATTGGCTGGCCCTCACAAATTCATTCATCACAGTCAAAGTCAGTCTTTTCTGATTTGATGTTACTTGTGATCAGTAGTGGTTTTTGATATGGGCGACACGGGCGGTTGCCCGGGGCGGCATCACGGGCATCGTACTCATGCTGCCGCGACGCCATGCCAGCGCATATTGCGGATGGCATAGGCACCGATCGGTTTTCTGATGCCCATCTGCTGGACCCAGGGCGCCAAACAGGCTCGGACCGCCGCTGTTTGTGATGTTTGAGATGTTTGGCACGTTGGATCTAAAACTGCTGCTCGTTGGTTTGATCTGAATCTTTCCTTCTGCTGTTTTTCAGGAATCGACTACAAGACGACCACCATCCTCCTGGACGGGAGAAGAGTGAAGCTGCAGCTCTGGTACGAACACGCCGTCGTTCACACGGCTGCCTTCGTCTCACGTTATCAGTCTGTGTAGAAAGAAAGCAGAGGACAACCAACATATACAGGAGGCCTGTTTGAGCCAATAAAAAGCTTTTTCAGGTAGCTGCTGAGCTTCATCAGCTTCAGCCTGACGGGTGTTAAAGGCTGGCTTCACTCAGTGAAAATATTCCTTCAGTTTTAGTTTGACGTTTCAGTTTTATGTCCAAAGAAACTGAGAGGAACGGAGCTGACAGCACAGCCTGAGCGTGTGTGGTGGATATTAAAAGCCTTAATGTGACAGCAGGGCTGATAAAACCTCCTCTGATGCTGCAGCTGACAGGATGTCGTCATCAGAGGCCGAACGCCGTAAAAGCTTAACCACGCAAGACGTGTGTGACCCGCCCTGCTGGACGCGTCACACCAACTAACCTGGAAGTGACCAGGACTTTTATTTTGAAGGACCAGTCCAGGATGATGATGTCATTGTAAGAGCGTCTGCAGCACTGATGCTTTTACTTTGGCATAAAAGAATGATGTCATTGGATGAAATCAGCGGAGCTGTACTCGAGTAAATCTACTCAGTTTGTTTCTGTGACGACGGTTTGCTGCTCTGCACGAACTCGTGTTTCAGCCGAGGCGCCGTCACATGTTCAGTCTGCAGCTGTGATGTTTAAGCGGACGCGCCGCTGTGTGTGTGTGTGATGATCCTGTCTGGATCTGCCGCTCTGACTTTGATAACTGGCGGCCATCTTTTCCCCGCCCGCGTGCTCATGAGCCAAGCAAACCCCTGCTGTGGCGTTTCTTACTGTGGACAGGAACAACGAACCCACAGGGCGCGCTACGTTTGCAGGAAGAGGCGGAGACAAGCGTCTGTGCACATGTTCATCACCACAGTCAGGACGCTGCTGTGCAAAAGTCTTGAGCCCCCTTTCATGTCAGCCTCAGCTGAAATCAGCAGTAAATACGACTGCGTGCTTAAAAAGCAGGTTTTTCACAGGAGTTTGAGACACTGGGCAGCTTTGAGTCTCTGAATCCAGTCAAACACAACAACAGAAAGAAACCACGACTCTGCCTGACCTGGAGGAAGCACTGACCTTTCACAATAAGAGTGAGGGGAGAACCCAGCCCACCATGTCTGTGCACACTTCCTCCAGAGCCTCGGGAACACTTCAATCCTAATCTGTCCACGACTTCATGACAGAACCCT